TGGAGTAACATAACCTCTGAGAAAAGGTAGGACCTTGACATGGGGCCACATTAGCTCAGTGATGGAGAAAAACTGAGGGGGAAGAGAAACAATGAAATACTAGTCAGTACCAGTGTGCAAAAGTGTGTTTGCTCTGGAATAATAAATCGCCTAATGTTGGGTGTCCTACATGTGTGGATGTTGCTGCGTTATATAAAACTATTATGATTGTAAAAAGGTTGAGAAACACTGCCGTAGATTGTACACCCCTTGAGGGTTAGGGACTGATGTGAATGTGCAATATATATGTAAAGTGCTGCTTAAATTGACAGTGCTATATGAGTACCTGTAATAAATAAATAAAAAATTGGATCTACCACTATTTTATTCCCTAGGGTGTCTGCGTTCAGAAAATATATAATGTTTGGCAGTTTTGTGTAATCGTCAGGCCTAAAATGATTTTTTAAAGACAAAAAAATGCATAAGCGGCTCTGGCAGTGAAAGGGTTAAGTAACTTCATACCAGGCATAACAAATCTTTAAACATTTTACTTGAATAAAGCAAGATAACAGTTCATCATCAAGTGCAGTCTTTTCCTAACACCCCTAGTTCCTAACTACAGGCTTGTGTACTGCCCCAGCATACCTGCTTAAGAAAGAGTACAAGGCTGACATCTTCTGGGAGCAAGTCCCAGCAATTCTCCAGCATCTGAAATGTTCCAGGACACAGGTTTGTCGCAGCTGGGATCAGGAACAGAAGCACTCTCCCACATCTTGCTGGCTCTGTGTTGTGGGGAATACAGGTCTCAGCAGCCCCAGGCTTGTCGGTAGGCTCCTCAAGCAGGCATCTCCAGTGAGGACAGATGGAAGAGAAGATAGTTGAAACAGGGATGAGCAGAGTCCCTCTGAGCTGGTGGTGTACTGGAGAAACGGGTTACATAGTAGCTGTCAGCCTATCCATCCCACACATGGCTGATATTTTCTGGGCAGAGCTCCCTCCTAATTTTATATGCACAGGCAAAGGAGGAGGGCAGAGGACAGCAAAAGTCCACCAAAAACAGAGATACAATTACCTTCCTCCCTCCCAGCTGGGCAGCAGCTGATAACTAGCATTTCAACCTGTTTACATGGTCCCTGTGATACTGAATTTTTTGCTTTGGTACATGTTCCTCAGTGCAGTGCCCAGCCCCCCCATTCCATTTGTTTGACAATCCCTTGCCTATGAGTCTAAAAAATGGATGGAACCTCTCCCCCCAGGTTCGTTCAACTCATCCCTAGTCCTAGTTGGATAGGAAGAGAGAGAGAGAGCATTGTGGGAGCGTGTGGTCAGGTTAACTTGAATCTTGCTGCCACTGCACTAGGGAAGGGCATTTAAAATAAAATACTGCATTGCCTACCAATACGGGGGGGGGGGGGTTAAAACACTGCCTCTGATTACCAATACAAGGGGACGGGAAGTTAGAAAATACTGCACTGACCACCAATATGGCTGGAAGGTTGAATTTGAAAAACATCACCACTGACCACCAATAGAGGGAAGGGGTTAAATAGCACTACTACTGAGCACCAGTGCAGGAGGGGTGTTAAGAGCACCATTGACCACCCATGTTGAGGAGAGTGATTAATTAGTACTGCACTACACCAAATTTTTTATTGCGACCACTGACACCAATGACTACTCCAATGTGCTCTTATCTGTACAATGCAGTACATTGCAAAAATGCAGCAAGACATTTTCAGGTGTTAAGGTGCATTACAGCCCATTCATTTTGGATGAGCTGCCTATTTCAACATAGTGCATCTCAATGCACAAAAAGACAATGCTATTGTGTAGATCGCCGGAAGTGTCAGGGGCCTCACTTGAGGCCCTCTAAAATTTTCAGTAGACCAAGTTGACCATCTAGAAGAAAAATTACAATTAAACGTAACTAACAAAAAATAGACTATCCACTCAAAAAAGATTAATTAACTTGCATCAGAGACTTTAGTTCGATGAAAGTTGTAGTGACTGATGGATGGAGGCAATTTCCCTTTTTCTGGCTAAAAGCATATGGTGTAGTCGGCTTTCCTTCCTTACACCGTGCACCCAGTATCCTCACTTGCTCTTCCATGCATGAAAGCCCCAATACTATTAAAATAAAGTATAAACTGATGCAAGACAGTTAACCCCTTAACTCCTATATGGAAGCTACTGATGTTCCCAAACTTGCAACAAAAATCATTTAAAGTGGTTGTAAACCTCAGACATGAGTTCTGAGCAAAACATATATTTCTATGGTGTTTACTACCTTTCTCTAAAGCACTAAGTGTCATTTTTATGTAGTTTTCTGACACGTTTTCCTGTCACCAAGCAATAAAGGTGACAGGGGAGGGATCTCTAGCACACAGCCTGTGATTAACAGCCTCAGCTCTGTTCCTGTGTGCTAAGAGAAGGGGGGGCATGTCCCTTCCATCCAATCAGCTATCAGAGCACTTGTACAGTGTGTAACTGCAGCTTTCCGCTCCCTGCTATGTAAGTCTGTGAAAAATCCTTTTCATCTCTGAGTGTTACAAGAAGGTACAGGACAGGTGGCTGCAAATGTTCAACTTATGAAGGAAGATGTGAATCATCTGAGGCCAGTCATTTCACTGGGTAAGGGTAAAGGTTTACAACTACTTTAAAGTTACAACTAAAGGCTCCTCTATGACAATCTAAAAAAGTACCAATTCCAGTTACTATGTGATGTGCAAGCCAGTGAACAAAAAAAAAACTCTTTATCTTCCCTGATTGAGCCATATCATTTTTCATTTATGTTCCACTGCAGATCTCAGTTACATGTCAGCAGCAGAAGTAATGCTGTCAATTCAGAAAGGAGAGGATATGAATAGGTGTGGCTAGGTGCTAAAGGACAAGTTGCAGGTTTGTGGATCAACATTTTTCAGCCACTGTAGGGCACAGCCTACATGAAAGTGGCAACTCTGTTTTAAATTCAAGAGCAGTGCAGCATCTTTACTACATAGTCACAGGAAGCTGCATTAGATGGAGTTCAATGGTAAGTTCAACTGGTAAGTGGAGAACTAAGGCCACATTCACACAGCCAGTTACTTGCAGCCACCAGATTCCAGTACAACAAACACTTTACTCCTGCGCTAGGAAAGGACTCAGTAGATCCATTAGGAATGTTCTGGAATTTTCTGGCATATGCACTGCTTGCTGCCCTCAACAGACCGGGGTGGTCCGAATACACTGGATACAAATGGAGAAACAGAAAAAGGGTGCACCGACCTAGTGCATTATCATTTAAAATAATTTATTAAAGAAACAAAAATAGGTATCATACTCACAATGGACATAATAACACAGGCATGTCAAAACTGAACAAGATGTATGATCCAAACAACATCTGAGTCTATACGATGGAACCCTGGATGACCAACTGACTAACGCGTTTCGAGGACACAACCTTTTCCTCAGAGGATGGAACCCTGGATGACCAACTGGCTAACGCGTTTCGAGGACACAACCTCTTCCTCAGAGGAAGAGGTTGTGTCCTCGAAACACGTTAGCCAGTTGGTCATCCAGGGTTCCATCGTATGGATTCAGATGTTGTTTGGATCATACATCTTGTTCAGTTTGACATGCCTGTGTTATTATGTCCATTGTGAGTATGATACCTATTTTTGTTTCTTTAATAAATTATTTTAAATGATAATGCACTAGGTCGGTGCGCCCTTTTTCTGTTTCTCCATTTGTAACCAGATTCCAGTGGCAGGAATCAGTGGATTCTTCCAACTAAAATGACTATGGCATTCGGCTAGCAGAGGTTTCTCAGCCTATTTAAGTTAATGGAGGGCTAACAGTGGCTGCAGCTGCTTGCATGTAGCTACACAGAAAGGGGATAGCTGTAGTCATGGATGGATGTCCGAGGCTGGACACCATCAGCAAATACAGCAAAGCAGTTATATAGGTATCCCTCTCCTTTCGTAAAATTCTCTAGTAAAATAGTAAACACAAACTAGCCATTTCAACTATCAAACAGAAAATTTGTCAAAATCCATAATCATGGCAATGCTGCTGAACAAGCAATCTCCTACTACAATCAAAGATACTGTTCGAGATAGTGAAGAAGTAGTTTTAAATATTATCTTCTCCACGAAAAACTAAGGCTATACGCACATCTAATGCTGCTGCTACTTGGTGACACAGGTCCCTCGTTAAGAATGGCAATGGCTTTCATTTCCCAATACGGAGAGCATTCGGACTTTCGCATGTATTTGCAAATGTGTGCAAATTAACCCCCCCCCCCTTTTCCTTCCCCCTCCGCTTGTCTTAGCTTCCTCTCTTTCTCTGTTGAATGGGTTTAGGTTATTTTAATTATATTGATTATTGCTGTATTATATTGGTGATTCACTGCAATTATTGTTCAATTTCCAATTTGTATTTTTTAACCACTTCAAGTCTGGACACTTTTACCCCCTTCCTGTCCAGGCCAATTTTCAGCTTTCAGAGCTATCACACTTTGAATTACAGTTGTGTGGTCATGCAACACTGTACCCATATAAATGTTTTAGCATTTTTTGAGACAGATAAAACTTTATTTTGGTGGTATTTATTCACCACTGGGATTTTTTTTTTTTTTTTGCTATATAAATTAAAAAGTCCAAAAATTTAGAAAATAAGTGTTTTTCTTATAAAATTTTGCAAATAAATAATATTTCATCATAAATCTTGGCCACAATTTATTCAGTTATCTTTTTAGTAAAAAAAAAAATAAGCCAAATTAGTTTATAACCAAAAATTTAAATTTTAAAAAACTTTTTTTACATTTTTATTTTTTTTTTTTATTATTATTTATGTTTTTTTTTTTTTTGCATACTGTCACCCTAGCAGTACAGCGTCACCATGGTGACACTGTACTACTTGTGGGGGGTGATGAAGATTTTTTTTTTTTACACTGATTGCTTTTATACCCATAAAGGCTGTAAAAGCAATCATTTCTCATTCTCTCTGGCTGCATTCTTGCAGCCATTAAGAAATACTGTGTGAGCTGTGATTGGTCACAGCTTGTCACATGGTACAAGGCTGTTGTGAATAGCCTTGTACCATGTGATCTCTGTGATAATTCGCAGATTTCACACATAGTAAGCAATGATGTCAGAAGTGATATCTTGCTTACTACTCTGCATGTGATCACTGATTGGTCAATCAGTGATCACATGATCGGGTCCTCGCACACGACGATCGGTGTTCCTCTGTGTCCGGAGGACAGAGCGGGAACTGGACTGCGGTGCTGCACACTCCCAGGGAGTGCGCACAGTCCAAAATGGCGGGCGCCATTTATGAACAGCAACCCGCCCCTGGACTGCCACCATCCAGCCGTTTATATACAGCGGCCGGACGGCAAGTGGTTAACATTAATTTTAGTGACTACTTTATCTATATCTGAGATCTAAGGTCCTGATGAAGTGGATCTCCCGTGAAAAGCGTGGACCTATGCTAAGTGATCTCTGAGGACTCTTTAGTTCTCCTACTACTTTTATGAAAAAACAAGTGATAGTGTTGGTGTCTGATTCTATATACTTCTTATTTTACTAATACAGTTGCATGTTTTCAAATGTACAAATAAAGATATGTTAATCTTTTAAACATTTTGAATTATCGCATGTACAACCATTGGAGGTATATCCAAAGTCCCATTACCTGTATATGGTCTTTATAGCGTTACAGCTCTTGAGAGCACATGGATACTTTAAAATGTATACCATAAAGGAGGAATGACAGATAAGGTAGTAAGAGGCGGCTCTGTGATTATCTGGATGTTGGTGTCAAAGCATAAGTCCCTGCCCTCTCTAGAAAATTAACCCTCCTGCTGAGGCTATACCCTCTGCCATATTGTGCCCCACTCTGTTCCAGAGGCTTCCACCTGACATTCCTGACCATTGACCTTTATATTCCCAAGGAAGGAATGTCCACACATAAATCGGGTTGCTGCACTCTATTGGCGGTACTTGGAAAACGTCACTAAACAGTCACATCACATTGACATAAATTTCAGAGTGCATTGTCAATCACATTTAGTGGATGGTCCACAGCAGTCACATGTGAAAGCATATGCAGCACAATAAGCAGTCATCTTCCCTTTAACAGTCTCTCCCTCCACTTGGGGTCATTAGTACTCACTAAGGTAGGATCTCTGCAGTCACCTCCTCCATGTGTACACTTCTCCCAGGACCCTCCAGGGAAAAAGCCTCACTTAGGAAACTCTTGGCCAGGCCTGAAAGGTTTTTCGCAACCTCTCCCTATCACCCACCTTCACCAGGTCTACTTCTCCCCAGCCTCCATCCCTGTCCAGTGCCTCCCTGTGTTGGTTACATCTGTACAGGTGTGGGGTGTTTGTCTCCCATGCCCCAACTGCACTAGGGCTCCTCTCCACCTGGCTTATAACTAGGCACTGACTCACCCATGGCATCACTACAAGAGGGCTTTAACCAAAAGGGGTCTAGCACCTGTTTCTACTGTTTTCTGTATTAAGATGCTATTCTGGAACTGAGCCATCTAATGGTAAACTAGCTAACTGCAGATGTTTGAAAGAGAAGGAGCTGTTTGAAAGAGAATTCTAGCTGTGCCCAGGGACGGACTGACAACTCATGGGGCCCCCGGGCAATAGGGGATCATGGGGCCCCTGTGTCCTTGCCCAAACTCAAAAAAGCCTATGAAAAGGGTACCAGGGGCATCTCACGGGGCCCCCTACTGACCCCGGGCCCTCGGGCAGTGCCTGAGTTTCCAAATGGTCAGCCCGCCCCTGGCTGTGCCCCAGTGTGAATTAAAGGGAAGCTTTTCATCAGAAGGCCTGCAAACCTGGAAATGATCTATACAACAATGCCAACTGAAATTCCATAATATGAAGAAAGGTTTTTCATAATATACTATATGTCATCTTTGTACTTTGTACTCACCAACCAATCCCTAAACACAGGAAACTTGCTGTGGTTTACTGATGTGAGCATATGTGGTGAGTGAAAATTATTATAAATTCAAATTTGATGATTCTTTTCTATTGGATTGAAAAAAAAAAATCTGTATGTAGCTATTTTATTAATTTAAAATATTATGGAAAGCAAGGATGGAATCTACAGTGCCACATATTATTTTGCAGCTTTACATTCCTTGAATGTGCTAGTTCCATTAGTTTTCACTTTTTAGGCTTTCCCCCTCCGGAGGCTCCTTAAAAGTTAGTCCGGCCAGCCACCACCCCACCCGGAGAGAGTTATGAGACTTCACCCACCAGTGGGTGGAGTTTAGAGTGGAGTGGGCGGGTGCAGTCTCATGAATCTCTCCAAGTGGGGTGGTGGCAGGCCGGACTGACTTTTCTGGAGCCTCCAGAGGGAGAGAGAGTGGCAGCCTGGCCAGGGCAGATGGTGTACATCGTTTTTGGTATTGTTTATCTATGGTGGAGAGGGACCCTCTGAGCCATACCTGTATGCTGTGAGAGGCCAGTGTTTGGTGTTCTGGAGTCTTCCCTGTATGCTGTTAGCCCTGTATGCTGTAAGAAGCTATTGGAGTTCCTTGCCTACCTCCACCGCGAAGGAGTTGGATATGATTTTATGCGCAATATATATGCACTTCTATATATAAAGAAAATGCAGCGCTGTGTGAGCAGATATAAATAATAAATGAAACCAAAGCAAATGAATAAATGAATAAATAAATCAATAAATAAATAAATCACAGTTCAGTAATGGTGCTCGCTGATTCCCAGTGCAAAAGTTAGAAATGCGCACTAACCAGAAACGTATTAATAATATGCATGTGTATATGATATCATGGAGATTCCCCTCTCTTTTCTGGTCTGGTAATGGACAGGAGCTGGAGATAGTAGAGATGAAGCGCCCTCGTGTGGCGAAGTGGAGGTCCAGCAGGTCACAGAAATCCTTACAGAAGTGTGTGAAGTGGAAAATTCCTCCTCTCAAAGGCTGGTGCAGGGATCAATCTGGGTCTGCAGAAGCTGAAAAGGCTCATCGCAGAAGACAGAGGAAAGAACCCATAGTGTAGTAGGCTGATGAAAATGATTTTATTCAAGAAAAACAGGAGTGTTCAGAAAAAACTCACAATGGTGCCAGGTTTAATCAAATGACTGACCCTTTAAGATTAAAGATGGCCGCCGGGCCTCCACATGGCACGGCGGCGTGGTGTCAATGGCGTCCTGGGCTCTACCTGACGCATTTCTTCAGAGGTAGAGCTGAGGTGAGTGCATTCATACAGCAATCCCTTAGCAGGGAGTCACCTGCATGGATATTTCAAAGGGTAACTTGTTTATTGAATAAATCGTAAAATAATGCAGTTTAGGAAATATCTAGACAACTTTTACTTCATCTGTCCAAGCCCAAAAGGCATTACCTGTTACCTAGAAGATCAAAGGGGCTACTAAAAGTAGCCAATCAGAGTGCTTGCCATTGTACTGAATGGGAAAATGTGTATATTAAGGAAGCTTCTTTTTGGTTAAGTGTGACAGAAGAAAGTGAGCCCTCTGAGTTAGATGGTTGCACGAATATTCTAAATACCCTGTCACCTTATCTGTACCTCTGCTTTAAGAGGAGTTTCTTCTTGTCATTGATATGGAAGCACAGGTATAGATAACTTGCATTATTGCATGCATGGAAGCTACCTAGGTGCATATTATAGATTAGATTTATGCTGGACGGTGTAGTATCTCCATGCTTGATATGAAGTATCTTAAATGGGACTCTGAGAGCTGTTGTTGATTGTAATATTTACAATATTCATGCTGGATGTCTGTACCTCTGTTTTATGGATCGTCGTTGAGCCCAATAAATCTTTCGGGCAAAAGAATAAGGCAACAGATTGGTGCCATCAAAGTGACCAGAAGAGCATTTTCGGTGATTAACGGTGATGACAACAGTCCTGTAAGGTAGACCCAGAAGCTGTGCTGTGACTCCGAAGTCTGGTTGTGACTTAAGAGTCTGATTCACAAATTGTTGGTGGTGACAACAGTCCTGTGAGGTGGATCCAGAAGCTGTGCTTTGACTCAAAGGTTTGGTGGTGACTTAAGGGGTCTGATTCACAAACTGAACCCCAGAATTATTATTTGGAGGCTGGAAAACTGAAAAAAAGACCGTGCTGTGTACCAGAAGAAGAATCCAATGATCCTATGAGGTGACAGAAGACTGTGAGGACCCAAGAAGGACTTGGAGAAGATCATAAGTCTAGGAGCCCAAGCAGTTGGTGAGTGTACATTGTTCTTATTAACAGATGGGTGTTTTGTTTTTTAATTGTTATATGGATAGTTGCTACTTTTGTTGAGAGTATAAGTTTTTTTTGTATTGCTTGTTAAAGTGTATTGTGCAACAAGCAGCAGTGTTTGGTGGCATTACTCTTGCTTTGGTGACCTTGTGCTGAGTATACTTGTGTATCTCAATAATGGAGGGAATTTTGAAAAAGTTGACACTGAGGCTATTGTTCAAGCTATAAAAGGATCTGGTGATCCATAGTTGCAGGCACAAAAATGGGTGGATGAAAATATTTGTTGCAAAACGTTAAATACACATAAGGTTAAGTATGTACTCATTTATACTGCTGGCTGGATAGCAGGGCAATACAAACCTGTTTTTCAGCAGAAGCAAAATTTGGACGATGAGGTGGAGTTTTTAAAAGCTGAAGTTGAAAATGTGAAATTTCTTGCCTAGCAGGCTGCTGTATTTAACGCAGACAGTAAGCATATTACTAATGAAAATACAAAATAACGCAATGAGATTACATTTGTTAAAGAATGTTTGGAGAATGCCCAGTGTGCTATAGGGGAGATATGCTCCGTACGTGCAAAGGTTGACCATTATCAATGTTTAGCAGAGATAATGTTTCTAAAGAAGCAGAGTGTTGTTGCTGCAAGTAAGGTCTATGATGTTTAGACAATGGTTTTGTAGCAGCTGTTGAGACTGATGTCAAAGTGGCAATATAGGTTTAATAAGTTTAACATACTGCATGCTCTTTGCTCTTAATGAGAATAGAGAGAAATTGTTGAAAGCAGCATTCCATCTGGTTTTTGTTTTTAAAGTAAGAAGACTTGGTTTTATCTTCAAACACAATGTTTAACGACTTGGCTAATAAACCTTTGGTTGAGAATTCCAGAATGCCATGAAAAGCTATGTTGTGTTGATAACAACATAAATTAATTATAAAGACTTTAAACTAATGGACTTATCAAGCAATGGACTTTCTACCATCATTTATTTTCCTTATTTTCATTATCTTTTATCTCTTGATCTTTGTCTTAAAACCAGAGAGACATA